GTTTCTCCAATAGTCTACAGAAAGCCTAAGGGTGCATTCACACCAGAATCGGAGCCAAAAACACGAATTAACAGAGGTACGTTGACTTAAGTTGGCATAGTCCGTTGATATCCATTGCGTTTCATTACATTGTGTTTTTGGGGGGTTTGTCTTTTTTTAATTAGATTTTTACACTGAGCTATATAAGGCATTGGTCTTCTGTTGACGCACATTAACTCTTCACACCAGTCCGTTTGGTTGTGCTGAAAAAAGCAGAGCCTGCTCTACATTTTTTTTTTTAAGTGGAAGACAGCGCAACGCACTGGTGTGAACTGCTCCCATTCTCACCCAATTCATTTTCAGATGTCCTTTTGTGCAAGAGATGCCAACAGATCTGGTGTGAATGGGGCCTAAAGTGACATAGATTTTAACAGAAATGTATTTGCCTTTTTTTGCCTTTGCACACAAAAGAGTTGCTGAAGGTGTCCATACACCTATCGATTATCATTTGTAAATCTTCCACAAATAGCCTTTCAAATGATAATCCAATCAGTTGATGGGAACTGTACTCCTGGCTGAATTTCCTTGATCAATCAGGCTGGAAAACTTTTTGGAAGTGAACAAAAAACGATGAATTAGTGGCGTTTTCGTACGAAAAAAAACATGCAACATGAACACTGCACATGCGCAAACGAAAATCCGTTCTGTCAAACGTCAAAATTCGGTGAGTTAGTATTGTTAGTGAACGATAATCAAAATCGACATTGGTCTGTGCATGATGGGGTATTCAAGTGGAAATCGAACGACGGTTTGATGAGTGCACAAAAAAAATCTAACGATAATCAATAGGTGTATGGGCAGCTCGAAGCTGCCCATACACCTTGCGATCATCGGATGAAACTTTTCTGGTCGAACCGTCGTCCAAGTTTTTGTACGGCGGCCCCATCTTGCCCCGATCATCGCAAGATTGAATCAGCAGTAATTAACAGAAAAGCACCTGGATGAATTGCGGTAATCGACCGCACGTATTTTCGTCTGCGCATGTGCAGTGTAAATCGTACAAATTTTGCTGTACGGAAACACCACTAACCTTGCGAAAATCATACGATCAACCGAAGTTTTCTAACCGGCTGGATAGTCAGAAGTCAATCGATTGTACAGTATTTGCGGTTGTACACTGCCCATCAACCTTATGAATATCGGACGAAAACACGATCACATACGAAAATCGGCTGATATTCGTAAGGTGAATGGTCAGCTTAAAGGTGCCCACACACCTTGCGATAATCGTACGATAATCGCGGGAAATCCTGCGATCGTACGATTATTGTAAGGTGTGTGGAAGCCGTGCGACCTCTACTACTGTAAGGTCGCACGACTTTTATCTTACGAACATGTTCGAAAACCCCGGGCGAGAATCATACGATTTTCAGGCAGGTGTGTAGCATGTAAGATAAAAGCCGGACGGGCCGGTGTGCGCAAGCGCACACTGCCCGTTCGGCATTGCGATCATCGGAAGCCCGCCCCCAAGATGGGCAGATCGTACGTTTTGTTAATTACCTTGCAACCATCGCAAGACAAAAGTCTTGCGATGGTTGTAAGGTGTGTGCCCACCATAAAGGTCGCCATACACTTTACAACCATCGCAAGACCTTAGTCTTGCGATGGTTGTAAAGTGATTAAAACAACGAACAGGCAGATCGTACTTGCTTCTGATGACCACAATGCTGAACAGGCAGTGTGCGCGTGCGCACACTGGCCGATTCGCCATTTGTCTCCCGAGCATGCCACAAACCAGCCGAAAATCGTAAGATTTTCGGCTGGTTTTCGAACATGCTCCTTAGACAAAAGACGTGCGACTGTACAGTAAAAACGGTCGCACGTCTTCATTCACACTGCACAATTCTCGTACGATCGCGGGATTTCCCGCGATTCTCGTACAAGAATCATACGAGTGTATTGGCACCTTAAGGCTGCACTTTTTTGACACTGCTCAGGTTAAGCAGATTATCCCATTTAGCAGTCAGTTTAACACAAATGTTAGCAAGACCCACAAAAATATCTCCTCTTTTCCATCTCAGGAAGATGACGGGTATACTGTACCACGGGAATCCCAGAGGGACATAAGAATCCATTGGATAATGTGACCCACAACCATCTATCCAAAACTGAATGATCAATTCCTTAACCTGTAATATTATTTACATTTGATGCTGAATCATACATAGTATTGACGATGGCTTTCTTTTAATGCTGAGTATCCTAGGAGCATTTGTGTTTAAACAGAGCACACACAGTCACACAGCATAAAAATTCCACCATTCCAGCCTGATGACTGCATACATGGTTTGTGGTTTGTACATATGACTTCAGAAGCAGGTTCCTGTGATTGCATGGCTTAGCATTCCAGAACAGTCTTTATGTCTGGGAGGGTATGCAGAACAGAACAGCTGTCTTTATTTAGCACAAGGTGTTTCCCCAGAATGATATTTGCCTTAACACAAACTAATACTGCGCAGAGCGATTAAAAAAGGAATTATCCGCACTTACAGATAATTGATTTTGTTCTGAGAGCGTCTATCTATTTTTTAAAGAACACAAACAAAAGAATACAAACTAATAGCACAAGTTTAACTTTTAGAACGGTTTCTTATTCCCCAATGATTATTTCCACTTTTACCCCACAATATGGGTTCCTGATCATACAGCATACCTCAAAACAAATATACATTTCTTACCTTTCTAGTTGTTTGTTTAGAACAGGAATATGCACAGGGCTACGAGCTGTTCTAAACAATTCCAGAGGAACAAAGTGGAGACAGAGTAATTTTCCCTTCTTTAACATACAATGTAAAATCCATGCCTCCAGATCTTTACCCTTTGCTAGGACAGATAGTTTCCAAGTGATATAAAAGTCAAAAAGTTTAAGCTTTAAGGTTTTAGGCTATTTCAATGACAGATTAAACCACTTACAATGGATGTTGCTCCTTGAGCTTTACAAGTTTTAGTTTTCTGTAGAATAAGCTGGTCTCCTGAGCACTGGCCCTGATATACTGTTTTAGGGTGGCTCCTTTCCCTTGCAGTGTCCTATGGAGCTACCCTTGTGTGTGCTGGTAGGCTGTGTGTGTCTCCACAAAAACACAGTATAATGATACGTCCCCCAGCACTCCTCACAGCATCTAAGATCAATAGAAATGGTGGTGCTTGTAGTGATAATCACGGATGGCGCCGTGTGCATCAATCAGTAGAAAACGAAGATCACCAGCACTCGGGAAATGATGTTAAAATATAGTGTTCATTTCTTCAAACACAAATGTCACATAGCCAATGTTTCGGGGCCGGACAGGGTCCCTTCATCAGGGCAAGATCATGACCTAACGATCTTGCCCTGATGAAGGGACCCTGTGCAGCCCCGAAACATTGGCTATGTGACATTTGTGTTTGAAGAAATGAACACTATATTTTAACATCATTTCCCGAGTGCTGGTGATCTTCGTTTTCTCCACAAAAACATAGACACAGCAAGGCAAGCCAAACTCCTGCTCCTCCTTCCTCCCTTCTCTATTCTAGTAGATGGACAGATGCTGGAGACTTCTCTGTCCCTTGTGATCTTGTACCAGACAGGAAGTTTAGAGAAGCTGAGCTGAGAGAGTTGGAGCTGTTTGGAAACATGATGACTGTAAGTGGTTGGGCAAAAATATCAAGAAATACTCTGCTGGGCAATACATGTTTGTTTGATCTGAATTTATTATTGAAAAAAAGTTGCAAATTTAATACTGATTTAAGTCTAGTTTACAACTAGGACCAAATGTGACCATATAAGGTCAATGATGTCATCAGCATCCCTCCCCTTTATTTACGTGCAGCTGCAGGGCAGGGAATGCCCCAGCCACAGCTGATTGGGCCAGCAATGAGAGCTTCCAACTCGGTTCGGAGGAGCTCAGGGTTTGGTCCGTACCTAAGCTCATCCCCAATGTTAATAATATCTACTAGCACAGTACAGACAAGGCTAATTATGGTAAACATTAACTGTACAGCTCCCTCCTTAACATTACATAAGGGGAAGCTAGGTAGTATTTTTAGATAGCAATTTTTTTAAATATTTTTTTTCAATGATGCTATATGAATGGGAATTTGTAACAAATATAAAGTAGGCATGATCCCAATTTTGCTGCAAAAGTGATAATACACTTTACATTCTTAAGCAGCCATATTGGCTATTCTAGTGAACATTTTATCCATCATAATTCCAGAAGAAAGGTCTTTAGAGTTAAAAAAAGCTTTATTACCTTCTCTACCTCTGTATTTATTCCTGGCTTTTGCTTGCTATAGGTATCCTAGAGAAACTTTACTACAATACGCTGCATTATGTTGGCAGTTATGCTCTACGTAATGTTCACCATGCACATTACAACTTTAGATTTATCAAAACTATGTATAATTAGGACCTAGCTAAACTAGCCAGTCAATCTGTATTCAGTCAGACAGAATCTGAAACAACATAGTTGTTGGTAAATCCAAAGTAGATTGCAGAATTAGATTGTGCTGAGCATAAGACAAGCTGGCTGGCTGATGCCAAAAATATATCAAACTACAACTAATATAATTTATTTTTAAATCTTGGTAATATTTGTAATACTTTTTAACGGCAATGTTGAGCTCCTTGCAAGCAACTACATATACAGTTGATATATAAATATGTGGGCCTGCCAAATTATTTTTAATTCTGTCAAGACAGTCTTGTAATCCAGGAACCCCTGCCAAACAAGCACACCCAGGCTCTGAACCTCCTCACCAACTACATTTCAGTTAAACCTCAGCCTGTGATTGGAAGGGGAAGGGGTGGCGCACATCGATGCCTGTATGTAGGTTCCCTGACAACACTCTACAAAGATGTAGACCCCTAATTTGCTTTGAATGCTATCTCCCCATGAGATTCAGTCCTCTGCATGGGATATAGGGCCCATACACACCAATGTGTTTTAACACACCTCAATACATGTACCAAGCTTAGTCATTGTTTTAAATGGTTCTAGTTTACATTGGTGTGGTGTTTTGCTGTGCACTGTTCATCTTTTGATGCGTGCATTGAGATGTGCTATATTAAAGCAGGGCATTTATTTTGAATGGCCTCACAATGCACCTAGATGCATGAAGAAAACACATTTGCACCATTTTATTTAACTTATTGCACCACAAATACAGTAGTTTGCACATGTGCAGTGGTGCTCTGAGTAGGTGTGTTGGGGTGCCACTGGAAATTAATGGCATTGCAATACACTGCACTTAGTTTGGGCATTCCATAGGTTGTGTGGATGAGTCAGGATCATATAGTGCAACTGAAGCCAAAATTGTATTTTTAGTTTGGATGAAGAGGGATTAGAAAACCTGTCAGGTTTGTATTGCTGTTTGTGTCCCCTTTAGGGAGATTCACCCTCTCTATTTGTCCTGGTGACCATTAAAAAGAAAGTGAAAGAAAATCCCAAATTTTGGGGTGTCACCAGAACAGAAACAGATGGGAATTCTTCCAGTGAGGACAGTATTTATAGTGATCCTCCTGACCCCCAATGATTTTCCTCACTTTGAAGGGATTTCCTCTCATTACCTGTTCTGGCTATCGGACAGGAAATTCCTCCAATGGAACAAAAATTGCAAAAAAACAGGTTTGGCTTCAGCCAAAAACAGGTTTGGCTTCAATTTAAATGTATAACTGATTGCAGTTTTATGTTTTTTAGAAAAAATGATCCCTTTTATATATTAGCCTAAGTAAGATTTCCAAAGGCTCAGAAAGGTATTATGTGGTAAGCTTGTATGACGGTATTATGTGGTAAACCTGTATGACGGGTTTTGAATCCAAGCATTTTGAGAAATGTTTCCATTCTAGTTGAGAAATCTTCTATTCGTTCTTGTCCTTTACAAGAAAGGTTGGACTTGGCTGGATGACACTCCCTGGAAGCAGCTTCTGTTTGCTGGATTGATGACAGGTGTTGGTTGACAAGAACTAGGCTCACTGTTAGGTAGAATCATAGTCCATACACAGGCCAAGGGTCAAGACATACAGAAATCATGACACAGGAAACAAATTAGCAGGAGCAGATCAGGTTGACTGCAAGTACAGGACAGAGTCTCATGGCACAGGCAGGAATAAACAAGAACTATTGAACACTTTCTTTCCCACTGAGCACACTGAGCACAGTTTGTATTCACTATTAGATGATAGCACAGGCACATGTAGGAAGAATAAAACCCAACTTACTGAGCTACACCAACTGCCTAGTGTTGAGAGGGGCAGCTACCATGGCGTACAGCGAATTTGTAGGTCAGCTTGTTACAATTACATAGCATTTACATCTAAGCAGTTCCAAGTGGTATAATACAGTTGAAGGCTAATTCCACCGTTTGCAAAAATTATTAAATGCACCCACATTGATGAAAGAAAAAAATGTGCATTTAAAGTGGCATTAAAGTAAAAAAAATGTTTCCCTCCCCCCAATGTTAATGTTAGCACTTACCGTAAATGATGTCTCCTAATCTGATCTTCTTCTTCTTTCCTGATGTTTTCATCTGTCCCTCCAGCGGTGCGGCGGCTCTCCGATCCAGCGCTGACCCCTCTGTCCTTGCTGGTACTTCCTGTCCCACGGTGTCTGCATGCGGGAGCACGCTTCCATAGACTTATCTTGCGTCTCTCCTCGTCTCCCTGCCAAAAATCCGAACTGCGCATGCGCCCGTCCCATAATGTTTTGCAGCCGCCCGAGCAGTTTCTGATTTTCTGACGGCAGCATGCGGTTAAGACAGGTAAGTTTAAACCGCTGTTAAATCCTTTTTTTTTTAAACTTGTTTGCATATATCTACTGCTTGCTAACAGTAGATATATACAAAAAAAACGGAGGCTTTAGAAACCCTTTAATTATTTTTTTGCATTGGAGTCTGAGAAGCAAAGCAACCTTGATTGGTGGATTCAGGTGCAATGCCTAGGCTCCTGCAAACGTTTCCTCAAGCTCCTGTCCATACAGAGATACAGACTTACAGTTACTGGGCTGGAGGAAGTCACCAAGTGCTCCATTTAGATCTATGTGTCCCCTTTCCAAAGTTGCAGATGGGACTTTACTTCTGAGAATGGATAGAGAATAGAATAAATGATGCAGCTATGCGGAAGGAGCCATCCTCAGCTATGCCAAATTCAAATATAGACAAGATGCTTCAGGTCTAAGAACCCCGTGATACAGCAAGGAGGAACAGTTTAGGGGGCTTCAGACTGTGACCATGTTACATGTATGTGTAACATAAAACATTGTATGAAAGGTGGAATTAGCCTTTAGCTACCAGAACAAAGCTTCATCAAACGTATAATTGTTGTTCAAATCAAACAGATGTGAATGTAACTTCAATGCATCATTTTAAAATGTAAATAGTCTAAGGCCCCTTACACACAGGCACCAGTCTGTTCCGATCAGCAGGGGATACGAGCACAAATCCCCTGCTGTTCGGAGAAGTACGCAACAGATGACACTTTTGTGACACGTGTCGGTTCAGTTTTTCCTCCATCTTGCCATGGACGAAAAACATGAAGTAGCCAGACCCATGTTAGGTCTATGGGCAGTCAGATGTAAGCAGACATGGGACCGTTTGCATCCGATCACACTCGATCGATCACAATCAAGTCTGCCAAAATAGACCATGTTTTTTTTCCCCAGACCTAGACTGAGGTAATTGGTTGTAAACGGACACGTGTCCATAGACATCTAGTGGGCCATAGAGTTACATTGGACTTCCGATCAGATCCCCCTGAAAAACTGACAGGCGAATCTAAACAGAATGCCCGTGTGAATGAGCATTACAGTAAGCAGATATTGACTGAATACAAGATACAAGCACTGCAAGGCAACATTACAACTCACTAAAGTGGACCTAGAACCCAATTGATAGGTCTGCTTATTATATAACTTATTTGTGAAAACTTTCTGGGGCCACTGCATACAGTATATTTATAAACACTTAATACATTATAATACATGGGGGCAACGTAGTAATTTTCTATGTTGATTATGTAAACATTTAGGTTCAGTAAAGATGATTACAACCAGAAAACACAAAGGAGGAAGGCTAATTATGGCATTGCTATCTAGCTGTGTCATCAACGCAGGTTCAAGATTAGCTGAAGGAGCAATGCTGACAGACATCAGCTATGCATTAGGAAACATTTATATAACCACTTCCTAATGCTCTAATTACATATAAACATGAGTCAGCTTAGAAGAAACAGAAACAGGACCATTCAACAATTGTTATTGTTGAATGATTTTAAAAGGTGCATGCTCTAGGGTTGTCAACTTAATCCTTTATTCACTAGGTGAGCCATTGGCCTGGAGCAGGCATGCGTATATCAATTGTGATATGATTGCACTTTAATTGTAGTCTTTAAAGATATTATATAATGCCAGATACTTGCAAGACATGTGAGGATTCATGGGAATATTGCATGCCAGTATATGATTGCTGCCACTGACCTTCCCTCCTCTCAGAATGGGAAACGGGTAGAGCCTCTGTCAGACTATTGCTGTCACTTTCTCTATTTGGGGGATTTACTGTCACTTCCCTTGCCTCTGAAATGAATGGAGGTGAAGAGAATTGTCTCCATTAGTACTAAATACCTGAAAAAGACGCTAACCCTTCCATGCTCTTACAAAAAAAAAAGGTTTTAGCTACAGTTCTACATTAATTGAAGTCTTTAGGGCTAAGCCTTTAGTATGCAAATCCTGACTATAGCAAGTGATTTGTGAATTGGTCATGTGATGTGTGGATTGGTCTGTGTATGTACTAACCAGCTAGAAATTATTAACACGGCTTTTCCCCAATGAAGTGTCATGTATAGACATGGAAGCAATTAGGATGTTTGCAGACTGTTGTATGTTATAATTAATAAATTGCCTAAAGAGATTGTGCTTGGATAGTTAATGCTGGTAATATCTCTACAATTACTTAAAGACGAGATGGGCAATTGTTCTCTATGTGGCTTGTTCACACCAGGAGATGAGGAAGCTTTCTGGCCAATCAGGAGGCTGGGGGGCGGGTAATGATTTGTCGCCTGGCTTCCTAATTGTCCAACTTCCTGACCAATCAGGAAGCCGGGCGGCGAGTTATTACACACCGCCCGGCTTCCTGATTGGCCAGGAAACCGGCTCCATGCTCCCTCGTCAACAGGTGACGAGGAAGCATGGAGCCAGCTTTCTGGCCAATCAAAAGGCTGGGGTTGGGTAATGACTCGCCACCCGACTTCCTGATTGGCTAGCTTCCTGATTTGAAGTTCCAGTATCGGAGTAAGCATCGGGAGTATTTGGGCAAGTACATTTACTCGCCCAAATACTTGGTATCGGCACCGATACCAATACGTACATCCTTATTAGAAACACTCACAAGGTGGGATTCCTTGTAGCCATTACCTCTGTAAGGCTTATCTTGCACGTAACCCCTTTTAATAATAGGGACAAGGTGGTGTTTAGGCTAGGGATGCACTGATACCGATACTAGTATCCGTAAAGGTGCCAATACCGAGTATTTGGGCGAGTACTCGTACTTGCCCAAATGCTCCTGACACTGATCCCAATGCCGGAATTTACTCGTCACCGGGGAGCAGGAAACTGGCTTCCTGGCCAATCAGGAAGCCAGGGGGCGGGTAATGACTCGAAGTTCTGGGTATCGGTGCATTCCAAGCCTAAACACCAATCAGGCTAGCCTAAATGCCAATCAGGAAGCTGACTCCATGCTCTCTCATCACTTGGTGTAATGACTTGCAGCTTCATGATTGGCTTCCTAATTGGCCAGAAAGCTGGCTCCATGCTTCCTCGTCACCTGGTGACGAGGGAGCAGAGAGCTGGTTTTCTGGCCAATCAGGAAGCCAGGCGGCGTGTAATGACTTACCATCTGGCTTCCTGATTGGTTAGAAAACTGAACACAGAAAGATCCTATGAGAATAGGACAAAAATGTTGCTGTTAGGCCACACACCCATCTCCCAACCAGGTAATAAACCAAAGATAGCAAAAGCTTCTCTAAAACAGCTACAACATCACTGCACAAACACAATACAAAAAAAATGATTTATAAAAATAATGCTCCGTGACACTATGTATAACCACCCTAAATATAATATATTCATTGTATGTGCATTCCCCTAAATAGTCAAATACTTACCAGAAACAAGCAATGAAGTTTCATGTTTACCTATAACAAAGGTTGACATATCCCCGAAGCCCTGAGAAGATATGTTCGTCTGTTTTTTGAATCACATGATATATATATATCTGAGTAGAAGCAACTTAATGTTTAATATTAGAAGTAATGTGGCATGGGTATGGCATGGGGGGGAGGG